TTTATTATGTTCATGATATTGGAATCGAGTTTGATGAGTTCGTCTTGTATTCCTGGTCATGACTAGCCCAGGCAGGTGGACTCTTTACTGCACTAGTCGTACTGTAATCTAGACTAGCATCCAACCTGGGTTACACCATGACTAATTAACAGTGCCAATAACTGCACTGGTATTACTAGGTGGCGGCTTACAGGCCTACCCCTCTTTTTCAAATTTTGGGATTGATCGGTTCAATACAACTGATCTTTCATGTTACGTTTAACCTATTTTGGGAGAATTTAGATTTAAAATTTGTGAGAAAATGTGACTCTCTGAAACTAGATGTAAACCAGTCTTAAAACAAGTTTGACTCCACCATGTTTCATGTATTAAAACACTCTTTCCATCAAGCATGGTAATTCCCTCAAAACTCAACTCTCTGTCCTCTTTTCACAATATTATTAACCCTACAGTTTTTCAGCATACTGGCATGAGGTCAATGTTAACTACATGTACCTTGGTGAATCCAAAAGTTTAATCTCCTACTTATTGTAGGAATACAAATATACAATTCCCGTATCCAGCATGTCCATGTATGTAGGACTACATTTCTTGGTGACCATTTGAATCCGTACAGCATATCAGTAGGCATGTGAATGTATAATCTAGATTCCATGACATAAAGAAAACTTACATTGCCTAGTATGAAATGCACATGTACTGTAAGTGATTCATATATCGAATACGTGCAGTTCTAAGTTTTAGGGTTGTCCAAACTAATTAACTTATTTGTAACCTTTACCTAAACTAAATATGCAGGATGAGATGCCTTCTCAACTACACCGAAGATCCAGTGCTAAACTGACTGTCGGCATGTGCAGAAAGGATGACCCTGACCGGATGACAAGTAACAGCTAGGATAGGATGCTGAACTTATCCAAGCAGAATGAGATGCAGGACTGTCTGCCAGTATTGGAATGTAGCAACATTGTTAAGGAGATGATAAAATGTGGCCAGGATGAGATAGGACAGTCAGGATTGGGATGTACATGTAGAACCAGATGTACACTAATGATTAAATTGAAATACCCATGAAAATGCGAGCGAGTACGAGGATTTACGGCCGTTTACGTGCGCTTTCGAGGGTCTCGTAACTGCTCGAGAGGTCTCGCAATACCCCGCACTCGCTCGAACTCCTTCGAACTCGCTCGATAACCCTCGTGTGCACACGTAAATAGACCAACCTTCGAACGAGCGTTTGCGAGGGTTCATTGACCCGTGAAACGACGGCTACTTCCCAACTACGAACCATTAATGTGGACGGACTGTTGATTGGTCGAATGGTAT